GCACGTTGGCTGGGCTCCACTCTCGGCTCTTTTCCTCTCTGCAGCTGGGCTTCTCCTCCTGTGGCCCGTGGGAGGAAGCCATCACCTTGCGATCTGAGAGCCTGGGTCCACAGAGGGTGCGCTGGGCAGGGTCCCACCGCCTGCTGTGCCCGCGGGGCCCAGAGGTGTGCTCTGCAGTGGGGCAGATGTGCTGCTGGGGCTCCGAGACCCAGTGCTCCTCCTGCACCAACACCGGCTTCTCTGCAGAGGGCATTTGGCCCAGCTACTGCTGCCTCACCTCCCCCCCCACCCCGGGAACAGGCCACTCTCTCATTTCCAAACTGGAGAGCATCAGCTCCGTGCTGCTAAATCCCCAAAATCCCATCGCATCCAGCAGCTATTCCCATGCAACTGGAATCTCCCAAGTCATTCTGCACCAGCTGCAGTCAGGAATCAAGGTAAAGCACTGTTCCCAACTGGTTTATTTCATAAAAGCTTTATTTTAAAATTAGAAATTGATAGCAGTTTTGGAAGAGGCAGAATTTTGGGTGGTATCTAAAACGCCAGCTCCCAGGCATTTGGGTGGTGTCTAAAATCACTGTTCCGTGAGGCTGGCATGGTCCCAAGTGCTGGCAGCTCGTTTTGGTGCAGGGCCTGAGCGGAGCATGGGAAGTGTCCCTGTCCCCATCCGTCGGGTAGTTTGTTCCTAGAGAGTGAATGGTTCTGGTTCCTCTGACCTGTTCTCCCATAACTGACTGCACAGAGCAGATTAAAAGCTGGGGAAAGGCCAGTGGTGCTGTGCACTGCACTGATCTTCTCTATACTGTCCCCAGGTCCCTGTTGGAAGTGATACTCCCCAGGAGTCAGATGCTGGCTCAACCAAAGCCTGCAAGGTCTGACCAGCAGAAGGATGTGCGAGAGGCTCAACAGCTCATAGCAGCAGCTCTCACGCTGCCGTAGGAATCGCCACTGAATAAAAGGCATTTTCAAAACCTTCACTGGCACCATGAGCTCTTCTGGAGGTAGGACTGAAGCTTCCGTAGCTGGCAAAGCAAGGGAGAAGTCTTTGTTGTTGTTCTCCTGCTTTGCTGCAGGGAAAAGTGTTGCACCTTAGGGGAAAGATGGACAAGGAGGTGTTGCCATCTCCTACATACACCCTCGCTCTTGTTGATGGTGAAGCTGGTCCCTACCAGCACCATTCACAGTGAAAGGAAGCTGGAAAGAAGCTGGCTCTAAAGCTTCCTTGGAAAGAAACCGCTGCTGCAATGCTGAAGGTGTTCACAGGCAGTGCTGCAGGAGTCAGCTGTGTCACGTTGTACCAAGGAGCTGAGGCACAGCCATGCTTAAAGAGGTTGTAAAACTCATTAAAATGCTGTAGGAAAGAAATATTCTTCCATGGGCTCAGAATCTTGATGTGTTGGGCATCAACAGCTGCCAGGAGAGGGGGGAGCTGCAGGTGGGTGCTGCTGGCAGGGAGACAAACCTCCCTGGCACTGCAGGTCCTCTTAGCATCGTCCCCTTGTTGTCACAGATGTCTTGGGTTTGTATTCACCCTCACCTGGGCAAGGGTAAATCAGTAAAGTGCTTTAAATCACATCACTTGCACTTGGTCCCACAGCTGCATCCTGGGGGCTGCAGGGATGAGTTCAGGAGGAGAGTGCCAGGAGGGAACACCCAGCTTCCCACTGCTCATCCCACCAGCACTGGGCTCTGCTGCTCTGCAGCCATTCCCTATGGATCTGAGCAAGATCACCAGTGACTACAAGAAAAAGCTGATCCGAGAGGCCACTGTTTTGCAGCCTGTTGATGAGAATATTTTCTCCTCTTCTGGGAAGTAGGGAATGCTGTCAGCCACCTCCTGGACAACACCCGGACGCACTTCGAGGCCTTGCTGGACCAGTTCACTGACCACGCACTGCTTCACGTGGTGGTGCTTCAGTGGGAGGAAGGGCACAACAAAATCTATGAGACTTTCATTAATGATCCCAGATTTCCAGAATCCACCTGCAAAAGCAAAGGAAGAGATGGGATTTACCTTCAGAGAGTCTCTGCACTCCCTGGGATTCAAAGAGCTGCTTTGAGTGAAGCCATAATACTCCACTGAAGGCAGATCTGCTTTAGTCTTGTACAAGGAGAGAGTTGAACCCATCAGTTGTCCCCCCTCCTTTATCCCCCAACACACTCGTTCTCCAGGAATTGGGGATTTAGCTTGACTGGTCTGAATTTAAGCTCTGCTCCCTGTGACAAGGGAAAAGCAAGGAGCACCAGGGCAGTGGGGATCAGTACATCTCTGTTCAGCGAGCGTGCTGCGTGCTGTTTGCCATCCCACAGCCACCTTGTCTCTAAAGGTGACAAGGAGAGAAAAAGAACTCTGATAAACATGGCAACAGGTCTGCTGGCTCGGAAGGCTGGGATATTCCTTCCCTTTGCCAGGAAACCTCCAGGGAATCGCAGTTCCCTTCCCTCAAAACCCCCTCGTCCCTTTCTGGCTGCCTGGGAGCTGGCAGATGGTGTCGGTGGCTGCCTGCAATGGGCCGGGCTCCCTCTGCCGGGCTCTGATCCCGCAGGAAGGGCTCCGTGCCATGGACTCACTGTGAGGGTTGTCAAACACGGCTCTGGCGATGGCCGGCTCCAGGTCCTGCAGGCTGATCTCCTCCCGGTCCCTGCGGGCTCGCCACAGATCCAGCGTCATCGCGTTGATCTGCTCCCCTCCTGCGTTGCTGCATGAGGAGGAGATGCTTGTTCAGGGTGTACCCAGGGAAAACAGTGCTACAGGACGGAGGTGGCACCTCACACCCTCCACCCTGCACGAGGGCAAGCCAGGATCTCCTGCTGCCTGCCCTAAAATGACTCCTGTAAAGGCAGCCAAGTAACAGGGACAGAAGAGCGTTTCCAGGCTCTCCGGGTCGGTATTCACAATGAAACACTGTCTCCTGGTGTCTACAGAGGCTCAGAGAAGGAAAAGCAGAACAAGTGTGTGCCCTGAAGGAGGTGTGATCTCTGCCCAAAGCAGAAGCACTGTGCTGGGAGGCCCCAGGATGCCACAGAGGAGCTTCTCTTACCTTATGAAGATGAAGATGGCTTTGCGGTAGTTGGTCCCGTACACAACCCACGAGGGTCCCAGGAAGGGCAGGATCACGTCGATCAAGCCCGGGTGCATCTTGTCCATCTCGTCAAAGAGGAAGGCTGATCGTCCACAGCGTGTCAGGTTCCCTTGGATCCAGTGCTTCAGGTTTTCCTGGGAAACATACCACGAAGCCATAGGGCAGGGAGATGCCAAGGGAGGCTTGAGCAACCCCAGAGCCAAGACCTGAGCACCAGCAGAGCTGAAGGTGCTGAAAGCTGCGTGTCCCTGCACAGCACCACCTACTCAGAGCAGGAACAGCCAGCACACCTCCTGTTATTGTGTGTTTCACACAGTGGCTGTTACTGGCTTTATTAGCCCATTGTAGATGTTTTATTCCAGATTCAAAGAAGGAGGCAGCAAACTAACGCTGGGGATTTACTCCTACAGCTCCCCATGTTCTTCTCTTTCACTGTGCATCTACAGCTCCCAGCTGCTGAGTGCTTTTAGCCGGCTCCTGTCCTGGTGGAACACCGTGACCCAGAAGAGCTCTGGCTCTTTACCATGCTGTAGTTACTTCAGTGTAGATGCCAGCCCACACAAAACACTCATGTCATCTGTGGGCATGTGTTACCCTTAACAGGAGCACTTCACCCACTATGGGGCTTGCTTTCCTGAGAGCATTTCTTCAAGGACACAATACAACAAAGAACTCCAAATGTCCAAGTGCACCAAATCCCTGCTCTGCTGAGGGTTTGCCAGGTAACCTTCAGACTTTGATTTCTTCCCCTTCTCAGCATTAAGAGACAGAGTGGCACAGTCAAGAGCCTAGGGGTGCTGTTCAGGAGCTGCTTGCTGCGTGAGGAGGGGATTACAAGCCTTAGCGATACGCAGGTTTTGACAGCTGTCAAGCTGTTTGGAAAGCAGTGGGAGAATTTTAGTGCTTTTCATCTAAGCAAAGCACTTTTGTTTGGGGTTCAAAGGGCTGTGTAAATATTTAAGGAATGAGAACGTGGTCAGGGCAAGGACTGCTGTGGGGAAGATGAAAGTGATAACTCGCTGCTGGAGTGTACCACAGTTACTAAAGGATCCTTCAGCCAGTGTGTGGAGCCACTCACTCAGGGTTTGAGAGGGTAAAACAAAGAGCTGTTATTCCGACTGTACTCCAGGAAGCAGCCCCAATGTGGCTGTACTGAGGCTCAAGATGGACATAACCAAAGAAAACCCAATCAAGTAGCAGTGTACTGGAGGCGACCCTTACCTTGTACTGCTCTATGTGCTCAGCATGGGGGAAGTGCACGATCGGAGAGAACTGGTGCACATAGGGGCTCCGGAGCCCGCCCTGGAAGAGGTGGCGGATGAGCATGGAGCTCACGAAGGTTTTGCCTGTGCCGGTCGAGCCGTGGAAGGACATCACCAGCGGCTTCACCGGGTTCTGCTCCGCCAGGAACTG